CTCTTCCTTCATTTATTTTTCCCTTTTTACTTGCTGTATACTTATTAAGTTCACTCATTCAAAACCAAAAGTATTGCTATCATTTCCCAGACTGTTCAGAACAGCACATGGCAGGTCTTCTTCTCCTTCTCCTCCTTCTCCTACTCCTCCTACTCTACATCTCCCTCCTCCCCCCTCCCCCCTGTAACAGGGTTTCCTGTGTAGCTTTGGAGCCTGTTCTAGAACTAGCTCTTGTAGACCAGGCTGGTCTTGAACTCACAAAGATCCGCCTCTCTCTGCCTCCTGGCTTCTTATTTCTAAAAACTTATTTTATATGTAGGTGTGTTTTTCCTGCATATATATGTCTGTGCACTACTTGTTTGCTTGATACCTGTGGGGGCCAGATGAGGTTATCAGATTCTCTGGAATTAGAGTTACAGACAGTTGTTAGCCACCATGTGGGTGCTGGGAATTGAACAGAGGAAGGGAAGCAGGATTAGGGCCTGGCAGGCATGAGTGTAAGGACTCTAGAGCAGGACAGTGCACCATTTTTCTAACAGTCTTATTTTACAAAGTGTCGGCAATGAAGAAAAGTTACTGGATTTCCACCAGTTGGAAAGGACTTTGGTAAATCCTAGGTTGAAACTTAGCACGGCCAGGGAAGTGTTGGCAAGAGAAGGAAGAGTCCTTTACAGGAGCAGAAGGAATGGGAAATGAGGACTTCCAATGACTAAACTATGAATATCTTGAAGACCTGAAGCCACAGATAGCCCAGAAAATTGTTGAGGCCCACACAGTCACAGTGACTTGATTGGAGACAGAGAGACAAGAGAGTGAGTTCAAAGTTGGAGAAAATGTCTACCTTCTGCTGACTGTCTCATGTCCTTGGCATGCCCATGCCACAGATGTACCCCCACATGTGTACATGTCACATAGGTACTGTGCGCGCGCGCGCACACACACACACACACACACACACACACACACACAGTTTCAGCTTGCTATAGCAAAATGCCACACACTGAATTCCTTTCCAAAGTCTACTTTCTGATGCTGTCATGGGAAGGCTGGGATTGGACACATGAATTTTGGAAGGACACAGATTTTCAGACCATTGCATACACACACATACATGATCCCTCTCCTGATGATTCAGTGGACAATGGAGGCCATGAGGTTGGTGGGGTATGATTCTTCCTATCTAGGTTGACTGAGGCTGTCAAGGATGGTGGACAGTGTCACCCATGCACAGTGTCAATGATCTTTGCATCACATTGTGCAGGATCACTGTGAATGTGCATAGTGTGGACAGAATTGATTGCAAGAGGTATAAAAGAATGGCTCACTTTGAGGAGAGGGGTGGCCTGGCAACACTGAACTCCACCTCTTCTCTGGTTGTGACCTTGGGAAGCCAACCCTCCATCTCTCTTCAATCATGTAGCAAATGCTTCTGTATTCACACTTTCTCAGGGAAAGAAATGGTGGGCAGGGCATATGACCTATTGAGTTACAAATTCATCTCTAGTTCGGGGTTGTATCTTGTACAAAAACATGTAGGTTAAGGATTTAGCCTTTTCTTATTTACCTTTTATCATAACATACTATTAGCTATGATAAACCCCAAATTGTCTTTGGACCTTTTAAAAAAACAAACAGAAGGAGAAGCTTGAGGTTAAGTTCTGATTGTTTGCCTAGCATGAATGAGGTTTGGGGTTCAGCACCTAACATTGAAAAACAGCAAGCAGAAGCAGAGAGACCCACTTGTTTTGAGTGACAGGGCTTCAGGCTGTAAAGTAGGTTGGGCTCCTGCCCATGCATGACACTTTTTCCTGTTCCCTGAGATGATGATGGTTCCTGGTGACAATACCAGCCACACCTACTTATTGCAGGTGATTCTGGTTCCCCAGCTTGTCCCACTTTGTGGTGCCTAGGCCTGCTGGGAAGGTTTTAGCAATCAAAACTGCTGTCTGCAAGGAAACTTAGAGCTTGTGGCCCATAGTACCCAGCAGAATGTGGGGCCTGGTCTGTGTTTTCTTTTACTTTGTCAAAAGCTTTCTTCTCTTGCTCATCAGGAACAGAGTGGGAGCTGCAGTGAGACCTGGGTGCTGACTCACTGTCTCACTCCTACCCTGATGCTGAAGTACTGGTGCTCATCCCCACTCCTCTGCCTCTTGCCTCCCCAAGCCTACAGCTGCAGGGGTGGCCCTGGATTTGCTGGGTGGGGCCCAGAGCCACTGCACTTGACAGGACACATATTTTTGCATACTGTCGGCTGGAAATACTCAACTTTATTTAAAGAGAATGTGGATTCTGAGTGCTAAAGAAAAGCAACCCCCAACTTGCTAGGGCTGTTTTAGGAGCAGTTTTCCTGCCTACTGTAGATGGAGACTTTGAGGCCCATGCCAGGGGCCCCGAGGTCTGTGCTGGAAGGTCATAGTGGGAAGATAGACTAGCAGGTTACAGGAGACAAATAAAGAGCCCCTAATGGGAATTCAGAGCTTCTGGGGGCCTGATATGGGGTCAGGCTGAGATTGGCAGCCCCCATGCCGTACTGATATGTTGGAGCAACTCTCCAGGGCCTTTCCCTTAGTACAGTTCCACCTTCTGAGAAGTCTTTGTGCGTATTCCCAGATCTCTGTCAAGTACTAGGACCATTTGGTTTTACTTTTATGTGAGATGGCTTTTATTTATGTTTTCATATTTTTAAAAATATTTTTTTAAAAAAATGTGTGCTAGTGTTTTGCCTTTGTGTATGTAAATGCTATGTGCCTGCAGAGGTCAGAAGAGCAAATTGGATCCCCCGGAACCTGGAGTCACAATGGGGTACCAGTTGCTCTGCAAGAGCAATAAGTGCTCTTAAGCACTGACCCATCTCTCTAGTCTTTTCATAGTTTTGTCTATTTTTATATGGTAAAATAGGGTTGTCAGTGAGAGAGATCTCTTTCTCTACTTTCCAGCTATAGAGGTAGCCACTGTTACTGCCCCCCACCTCAGAGATACCACCCCACATTCATGTGTGCCCATGCCAGTGGAAGCCCCCAGTATTTGCCACTAGACCTCATGTGGGTGGACCCCCTGGAAGCTTGGTGAGTGGGCAGTATTTTTTGTTGTTCCAAGTTTCTCTGTAGTCCATTCCAGGAGACTTTAGGAGCTGGGCTGAGGCTACTGCCCTGGCCCTGGGGTGGCCACTGGATCCTGGGGCCCACAGGTACACTCTGTCCACACTTGTTAAAATAGCTGTTTTTCTCTTAGTTGTTGAAATGTTTGCATATTACAGGGAATTTGAATATTACCTAAGGAAACAAAAAGCCCAGACTCCCTCTTACCACAAAAATCAGACCTGTTTATGCATGTATTTTCTTTTCCTCTTCCTGGAAGTTGAGGCCATACCATGTATAGAAATTATGTATCCTTCTTTTCCCCTCCATTTTCTTTTTTGTTGGGTTAGCAAGCTTTTCCCACACCTCTAGTCTTTGACAATACTGGACCTGTTATATACATTTTCTTTGTTCTGGTGCCTTCTTCTTGCTCTGTGATCATCAGTTCCTGTGTGTTTTTGCTGTTGCTGTACAGTGCCTTGGACAGTTTCAAGTTTGTGCCCATGCTGACTGGTCAGAGCCTGGTCTTCACGGTATTGAGTGCTGAAGTTTTGAATATCATCTCTGAAGCTAATTTCCTTAGCCACTCTGCTTTGTTGCCACATCAAAGCTCTATGACTTCATAGCTTAAACATCATTCATTGATTGTGACAATTATGTGATTAACATGTGAGATCAGGTATGGTCTGGCTCTCACTCTTGAAGAATGTAGGGAAGGATCCTTCTGGCTCCTTTCAGCTTTGGATAGAGGCTCACAATTCTTGTTCCACCATTTTACCCTCTGCCTGCTCCTCATGGCCACCTTTACAATGTTTTCCTGGATAAGTTGGTGTCCAAAGTCTCCCCTTTAAGAACAATGATCATACTGGGTCAGGCCCCACCTAAATGCCCGATTGTAACTGGATCACTTTTGAGGCCTCAGGGTTGGGGCTCAAAGATGTCATTGGGAGGACACAAATCATCCCTCAACAGCTTCCAGTTACCTGGCCCAGAGAATACAGGCCATGTTGGAGGCCATGTCTCTTGAATATATGGAGACAGTGTACACATACAGTGGGTAAAGATGGTCACATTTTAAAACTTGAGTGAGGGAAAGCGTGTCTTCTTTAATCACCTCTCCCCCTGTCATCCTCGCCTTGTTTCTGTATCAAGACAAATGAAGACACTTGAAGCTTTACTTTCTGGAGTGAGTGGAATGACATGCCTACCTCAGAGTGTGTTGCAGCTCCCTGCCTGGCTCAGTTTGTAGGCTGATAAAGGCTTTTTTTCTGAGAATTAGATCCTCAACTCATTTAGTAGACTTATGAATCTAAACTAATTTTTAAAAGGCATTTATATGATTAACATGGTAAATTTTGTGACAGATTTTGTTTTTTATCTTCAACATCTGCTTCCTGGCTAGACTGTTTTGTACATGTGCCGGATTTGTAATGGAGGTATGTAATAGGATTTGGTTGACTAGGTTTTTAGGCCATCTCATTAAAAGGACTGCTTACCTCTTACTAATGATGTTCATAGTTAAATGCAGTCCTTTTGGCTTTGATTTACTGACTAGGAGGAAAGAGAGGCTTAGTGTTGGGTTAAGATTGAAATCCAGCAGTTGCAGGATGGAGATTTTACCTTTTTGAAAAGTTCTTCCCAGCATTTCATCATCACACCTGGCACTCATGAACCAGGTTTTCTTTACCAAGGTGGCTGCCTGTTTAACAGGCCTGGTTCTGAACTGGCAGCAAGCAGACCTGTGATTTCCTGGGAGACCACGTACATAGCTCCAAAATGGGGCCTTCCCAGCAAGTAAGCTGGGTTTTTGTTTGTTTTTGAGGTCTGTGTTGATCCCTCCCTAGGACACAGGAGTAACACTGCTTTGGGACTTCTCTGCTTTGATTTGTTCAGCTGCATCTCACCTTTTTTGTTCTTTCTCAGGATTCAAGAGCAGTTCCAGAAAAATCCGGACAGTTACAATGGTGCCATCCGTGAGAACTACACCTGGTCACAAGACTATACTGACCTGGAGGTCAGGGTACCAGTGCCCAAGCATGTGGTGAAGGGGAAGCAGGTAACAGGCTGGGGCAGGGGCTTTACTGCAGACAATCTGAGCTCCAGGGAGGGAGCTGGCCTGCCTGCCTGCAAGGGAGTTAGGATTGGTTTTGGGGTATGAGCCCTCATCCCTCAGGGGCTGGTTGCCTTTCCTATCCTTGCCTGTGAACCCTTTTCACCTGATCTTCAAGTTCCCCTGTTCTTAGTCTGAGCAGCCATACTATGGAGAAAAGCCCACATTTGATGTCTTAGTCTCTTAATAATGGCACAGACATTCCCAGGACCTCCTGTAGACAACACTAGCCTCTTGGTTTTCAAGAGCAGATCCAAATGTTGCCTTGGTGAAGTCTGTCTTCAACTTCCCAAAGAAAACTCAGTTAGCTGACCTCACAGTGTGGACTAAGGTGCTGTGCCATAGTGATTGTCTTGTCTATTCACTGCCCTGCTTTCCAGTGCTCTGCACTGGAAAAAGTATACACAGTGTATACTTTGGAGAGAAATAAATACCTGAAATTTATCTTAGTTCAGGGGAAGAGAGAAGAGGAAAGGGTGAATTTGTGTGGGTGCTCTTGGCACTGAAACTGTCCAAGACCAAGATGACAACACAGGAAGAAAGAACTGTCATTCGTTACTGTCTATTAATATTTTACTGTCTCCTAGTGTTGCTGGTTTCACATAGACATGTGTTAAGAGCAAGCTTTCCTGTCTACAAACCTCTTTGCTGATGTTGGCCAGAGATGTACCTTGTTAGTGCTCAGGCTCATTGGCCAGGCCTGTCACCTCAGGGTGCCAATGGAAAGACAGTCTGACTTCCTCATGCACAGCTTCTGTGATATATACATTTTCTGCCCTTGTTGACAAACAAAGCTAGTTCTTTTCTTCAGACATATAACCTCCATGTAGTGCCTCCCCCTGCCCCACCCCCCAATGTGTGAGGTCATGTACGATACCCATTGTAGTTTCAGCAGTTCCGAGGGAAAGCAAACAAGTCCAGGGGTGGGGAGATTATTACTCACTGGCTAAGATCTTTCACTTGCCGTACAAGTATGAATACCCGGGTGCAAGTCTATAAAAAAGATTGGTGGGACTGTGGAGGGAGGAGACAAGAAGATTGCTGGGACTTGCTGATCAGCTTTCCTCTTCGCTTAATGAGAGGCCCTGTTTCTAAAGAATAAGGCCAAGAGTGATAGACAGGACACCTGCCCTTGTCCTATGGTCTCCATGTGCATGGATGAGTATTACACATGCTGCACATATAAATCTAGGCTACAGTGACTAAATGAATGTCTTGGCTTGTGTCCTGTGGTTCTTCCATGGGGCACAGCTATGTATAGCTGTGACATTACCAACATAGGTAGATTTCTGACACTTGGGTTTAGTACATATTTTTTTTTTTTTTTTTTTTTTTTAGAGAGAGAATGATATTTATTTAGGAAGCCATGGCAGAAATAACATTATTGTAGATGGTTATAAATAATCAGGATTCACTTAAAATAATCTTAGGTAATCTTAGGTAACAGATCCAAATAGGATATTACAGAATTTGAATTATCATTGTGATAAAGTTTGGCATGTGTCAGAAACTTTCCCTATTTTAATCTTCAAGAGACACAGACAGCAATTCTGTGCTTTATAGATGAGAAATCAGGGCTGAAAGAAATTACTAAATTACCAAGTGTTGGCTCCTTTGTTACACACAAATGGGGCTTCTAGATACCTATTTGAGTGGATGACTTGCTGAATAAATAAGAAGACAAAATTATGCTTTGATTCAGATGTATCTGTCTCTAAGCTTAGCCTTCTCACTGAGCTTTTATTTTATAAATTCCTTACTTCAATGAAGGTGTGGTTATGTAGAACATGTAACATGGAAGTCTAATTATATATGACTTTTTAGGGGACAATGGGGACAGCCTGGCTGGTACCCTACACCACCAGGCTCAGTTCACCCTGTCTTTTTTGGATGGCTTGGGGCAGGTACTGACTGCCTTTCCCAAGTTGCTTGCTTAACATCTCCTTGGGGCATTAGTGGGTCAGGTGTTGATTTCCATCTCATTTTGTGGTAGGAGTGCCAATAAATTACAAACAAACTTAAAGTCTGGGGAGATATCTCAGTTGATAAAATGCTTCCTTAATTTGGATCCCCAGCACACACATAAAATTACTCAAGCCATGTTGTGTGCCTGTAATTCCAGTGCTAGAGTTGCAAAAACAGAAGGATCTTGAGGATTTTACCAGTTAGCCAGAACAGCTGAATCAACAAGCTCCAGGTTCACTAAGAGACTTGTCATAAAAAATATGGTGGTGAGCTAAATAGAGGAAGATACCCAGCATCAACCTCTGGAATGTACACACACACATACTCACGTGCATATAGACATGAATATATACATACATACACTCTGTATACAAAATATACTTAACGGATTCTTTAAAAGTTTTAATGTAGTTTAAATTATGCATATCTGTGTATATTTGTATGAGTATGTACATATGAACGCAGGTCCTCACAGAGGCTAGAAGGAAGTTGTTGGATCCCTTAGAGCTGGAGTTGCAGGCAGTTGTAAACTACCCAACATGGGCACTGGGAATTGAACTCAGATCCTCTCTGCAAGAGCCTCACCTCTGCAGGGTTCTCTGAAAGGGTTCATAGTAGGCCCAGATTAAAATTAGTTTCTCTTTCCTGTTATGTTGGCAACCCAGACAGCTCCTAGACATAGTTTTCAGATATGCTGGCTCACTTGTGGGAGTTGGAGCCATGCCGTGTACCACAGGCACCAAGTTATGGAACTGCTGCCATACCATGCTGTTCAGATTCCTGTCTCTTCTCTGGTGTGTGTTTTCTTAGATCTCCATGGTAGTGCAGTCCTAACTAACCCTGGATGTGGCTCATTCGTCTGTGGACATTGTCTGAACACATGGCTTAAGTGGTTTTTACCATGCTAGATGTCTGGCATCAAACGTGTTTTCTTTTTTATTGCATAGGCAGAAATGTTTAACAAAGGGGTGGTTTGTGTATGTTCAGCATAGGTGTAGTGTACATCTCAGTAACTTGGTCCTTTGGTCCACCATGCACTCATGGGAGCCCAGCTAAGACCAAAGCTACCTTCACTCAAGACAGGCTTGGGATGGGGTGGGGAGCATTCCAGATCTGCTGTCAACTTCAAGGTAGGCATTTTTGACACCTGCTGATGTTGCTTGCATTGGTGAAGATCCTTATCTCCCACATGGTAGGAAATTTTCTTTTTCTCCCTAATACTATTTTTCCATGCTATGCTTATAATATTAATCCATGGTCTGCTTAATGTAAGACCTGAAACTATGAAACTGTTAGGGAAAATAAGGAAAATGCTTCAAGAAATAGGCACAGGCAAGGGCTTTCTGAATGGGGCTCCCTTTACTTGGAAATAAGACCAACACTGACAAATAGGATCATATGTAGTGAGAAGGCTTCCACACAGTGAAGGAAGCAGTTGATTGGGTGAAGAGACAGACTACAGAAGGGGAGGCAGCTGCTAGTTATGCACCCACCAGAACACTAATATCTGAAATATACAGAATTTAAAGAACTAAACAACAAGAAATCAAAAATTCAGTCAGTAAATGGACTAATGAAATAGACTGAGTCACTGGTAGTCACTGAGATTGGCACTAGATATGTATTGCTAATAAACATAAGGGAAAACATTGTTCTTCGCTAGCTATCTTACAAAAGCAAATCAAAATTACATGGTGGTGGCCATGCCTTTAATCCCAGTATGCAGAGGCAGGTGGACTCTGAACTTCAAGCCAGCCATAACTTCATAAAGAAAACAAAAAACAAGCTACATTGAGATTGCATTTCACCCCAGTAAGGAATGGCAATCTAAGAAAATAAACCATTGCTGGTGGGGATATGGGTTGAAAGGGAACTCTTACACACTGCTGTGGAAATATAAACTAGTCCAGCATTGTGGAAGTCAGTGTGGAGGTTTTTCAAACAAAAGGAAAACAAACCTGAGAAACAGGTCTGCTATCGGACCCAGCTGTAGTGCTCCTGGGTGCCACCTGAAGACTCCGAGTCAGTGTATCAGGGATTGCTGCATAGCAGTGTTTATGCAGCACTGTCCGGCAGCTCGGGAGTGGACCCAAGCAGGGAGTTGGGAAAGGAGTGTGATAGAGATTCACACACAAGTCTGACAGCTGTAAACAAGTTACATTGTTGGTAGGGCAACTGCAACAGCTGGAGCTGCATCAGGTCAAGCAAGTTAGCTGGTCTCAGAAAGGCAAATGCATGTTTTCTCTTTGTAGGTCTTGTATTTTTCATGCATTCATAAAACATGTATGTATACACATACATGGCATGCAAGTTAAAGTGAAACTGTCTAGTGGAATAAAGACTAATTGGAGGAGGGAGGGTGGGACATAAAGGAACACATGTTTAGTGTGCGATATGTGTTTACTTGAAACTATAAAAATGTATTGTATTCCTAGTGATTGCTAAGAGTTTTTGTCAAGCCTCACTTAAAACTTTGAAATAAGTATCTTGTGTCTCTTGGGTTCCACATGCCTAAGGGCTTTTCCTCAGAGTTGCACTTCTTTCTTGACTGGTTCCCTTCCACTTGTCCCCTAAATGTACCTATCACAGCTGCCTGGCAGCAGTGTTTAATTTTTGGTTTGTCTCTGGCATCCATCATATATAATCACGATGGTAGCCATGACTGCAGCAGCCTTGGGCGATGGAGCTAGGGCTGGTTCTGGGTTGGGGACGAAGAGGCCCTGTGTAGCCAGCTATTTGTTTTGGTGTTAAGGTTAAATGAGGAGGCACTGCAGGAGAGCAGTGGCCCTCTGTTCCCCAGTGGTGGCTCAGTGTTGGCCAGAGCTCTGAGCTGCGTCCTAAGCTATTTTTCACTCATCTCTCTGTGGACGTGAGTGTGAGGACAGCGTATCGGCCTTTCAAGGGTGGTTGAGAGTGAATGGAAGTGTGTACCTAGTGCATGTTCTTCAGAGGAAAAATGGGAACTTTCTTACTTTGCATAT